GAGGGGGAGGGCTGGCTGGCACAGGGCTCCATACTCGGAGGCTGGTTCTGCATCTAGGCAGGCCCTTTGGTCAGCTGCCTGATGCCACCTCTGCTTTGGGCTGTGTCACTCTTGTGGGTCTGGATTAACCCTTTCACAACTGCAGCCCCTGGGCCCTTCTGGGGGAGGCCCTGATTTCATATGATCTCATTTCTTTGTCCACAGTGGGGGACCTGAGAGCCCTAACAAAGCCTGGGCACCAAGTGCCTGTGGTTGTGTCTCTGCCTCTGCGTGGAGCCGTGACAGGGGAGGGGGCAGGGATCTGGAGCCCGGCAGCCAGCCCAGCCCCCGGGGAGGCTGGGGGAGCAGTGAGGGGCTGTGCATGTACATTGCTCTCCGGGGCACTAAGTAAGAGTGTGTGAGTGTCATCAGGCAAAGAGTCATCCGTCAGAGCTAGAGAGCAGGACGGTTCAGACACAATCTCTGACGTCAGAGACAGAGCCTCCATCTCAGCTAGAGGGATCTAGACAGGGAGAGAGATGAGCAGGCGTGAGAAACCAGGACGGAGAGCGCTCACGCACACACATGCAACGCACACGCACGTACACAGAGCCCCTCTGCCCCCTTTCCACGAAGCACAGGGAAAAGGGGCCCCCCTTCTCTCTCCCCACTGGCTTCCCGAGTCAAGTTAAACTGCCCCCCCGCCCCCCCCACCTCAAACCCCCATTCTGATCAGAGAGGCTGCAGCAGGCACCAAAGAGCCAGAGCAAACAATGACAAAGCAGGAGACACAGACACGTATTCTAGAGATACCCCAGGAACCTAACAGCCCCCCCTCTGAGGGAGGGAGCAGGATGGGGAGGGCTTCAGACTCGCATGAAGATTCCAGGGGGGAAAAATGCAGAAAGGCCAGCAACAGGCCTCTCTGCTCTCAGCACAGACAGCGGTGGCGTGGGGGGTGGGGGGATGGGGGGGGCGTGCTGGGGACAAAGCCGCCCATCCGATGCCTGCTTTCTGCCTATTCTCTCCGCTTCCAAAAGCCTGGCAGGACTTGGCCTGCCCCCGGCTTCCGGCTTCTCCTCTCCAGGGGCATCCTCCGCCTGCTGGCATGGCTTGGGCTCTGGGAGATGCTCTCCTCTCCTGCACTGGACACACCTGGGTGGGCCGCCTCACCAGCGGGCTGTCTCACCTGGAACCCACGGGGGGCAAGGTCAGTGCCTACAGGACCCTGGGGGGCAGCAGGGCCGTCCGGCCCGATGAGCTGGCTGCCCTGACCCCTTCCCATCGCCTCCTCCTCTCTCTCAGCACCTCTCCCCACGGGCCTCCTTTAGGAGGGGCGGCTCAGGAAGGGCTCCCTCCCTCTGGTCACTCTAGGGCTTGGCCAGGTTCGGGTCCCTACAGCCCCTCTAAGGCCCCCTCCCCTGGGAGGGTCTCCGTACATTTCTCTGGGTCAGGATACAGGTATCCCAGACTCTGGGAACCTGTCTGTCCACCCCTTCACCCAACAGGGCCTGTGGGACTCAAGGCTTTTCTGTCTCCAGCTGACACCTGTTTCCAGGTCTGCCGCAGCCCCTAGCCTAGGAGAGGGGTGGGGGAGGGGGTACTCTGCCACGTGGAGGGGGTCAAGGCAGCCAGAGAGGTCACGGGGGGAGAAGAGGAGGACCCCAGAAAGCAGGAGATCCACGTCTAGATGGGACTGGGGGAGAAAAACCCGTGGCACCGTGGGAGGGGCTGGGCTTGAGGAGGAAGCCGAGCCGTATGTCACACCCGAGTCCCAGAATCCACTCCCAGCTGGAGCCTTCGATCTTTCTCAGGACCAGGTCGGCATCCACGGGCTCCTGACCACGCCCATCAGGCCCAGGGGGGTCCCATGGCTTCAAAAGCCTCCAAAACAGAGGACGGGGGGGTGGCTGGTGGGTTCGGAGAAGGGAGACCGTGGCCTGAGCGTGTCCCTCAGTGGGTCCCCTCGCCACCGGCTCTGCTCCCAGAGGCCTCTCTCCCTGGGCCTGGCGCCTCCCCTCCTCCACGCCCTGTCCCAGCCCCCTCTCCTCGTCCAGGGTCTTCTCACCAGGGCTCTCTCCAAACCCCGTCTCCATCCACCCTCTCACTCAGAGTCCCATCTCAGCACCCTCCCTTCCACCTGTGTGATCCAGGGCCCCGTCTCAGGCGGAGGGACACCCCGGTGCCTCCTGCCGAGCCCGAAGCCCAACTCAGGCCCTCTGGCTGCTCTTTCTCCAGGCCCCCAGCGCGCAGGACACGCCCCACCTCCCAGAAGCAGGCACAGCACGGCACAGCTCGCAGGGCCAGGGAAGGGGCACAGCGCGGGCACAGTAACCTGTGGGTCGGAGCCACCCGGGCTGCTGGCTGGAGGGAAGGCAGAGGGCTGGCCCTCTGGGCCTGCCAGCTCGTCCATCAGCTTCAGCTCCCCCTCCAGGGAGCTCTGGATCAGCAGGGATATGGTGTCAAACATCTGCCTGTCCTGGGAAGGACCAGCCCATAGGGGGAGCCGGAGAGTCAGGGAACGGGGGTCAGAGGGGCAGTGAGGGGGCAGGGGAGTGACCAGAGACACAGAGGGAGAAAGAGAAGGACACACACACACACACACACACACACATGCACACACACATGTGTGTGTGCACACACAGCGACAAAGAGCCGAAGGAAGAGGAGGGAAGGGGGTGGTGGGGAAGAGAGAGGGGTGGGAAGAGGAAGGAGAGATGGGAGATGGAAGATAAGAGCCCACGGGGAGAGGGAGAAGGAAAGAGAGGATTGGGGAAAGGGATGGAGAGATGGAATCAGGGATGTTGAGGGTGGGAAGGAAAGAGGTTTGGTAATCGGGCAAGGGTAAGAAAGAAACAGGAAGGAAACAGAAAACTTAGCCTTGAACCTGAGAGCCAGGAAGGGGAGGCCAGGCCAGCGGAGGCTCGGGGATGAGTGAGCCAGCACATGTGTGGCCCTGGGCAGTGAGTGTGGGCTGCCATCGCGGGGCTGGGCAGGGGACTGCTGGTCCCTCCACTTCCGGGCAGGAGCAGCAGGAGGCCAGGGGGAGCCCTGGGGTCAGCTGTGCTGCCCACGCCCTGTGTACCACCCA